AATAAGTAATAATTCATAATTAAAAAACAATATTGCTTCAGGATCTCAAAAAATTAAAGCAAGCATACTAATTACACATTTTTAGAAATTATGACTCATAATTACAAAACCCTAAAAGCAAGGATCTTAACAAGATAGATCTATGGACGAGATGACGTGAGAAAAAATAGTGCTATAAATCATAAATTAGTGAAAAACAACTTATAAAAGCGTATAAATATTTAGGATAAGAAAATTGTAATTGAAAATACATAAATTATTTAAAAATTACAAAATCTCAAGTTTCATTAAAGCTCCTAGACATAAAATTGATATAAAAGTTTTAAATAAGAACATACAATTACATCTCTTCCAGAATGAATATTAGATTCTTCTTTAGAGAAATGAGTAAATTATTTATGTGATATTTTAAAATACTACATAAAGATTTAATTTGGAAAAGTAAGTAACCCAGAGAGGAATTATTCTAATTATAATTAATTCAATTATAAATATATTTAGAACTTACAAAACAGATTAATTAAAATACATAATTGTTATGAGGAAATCTTATCTAAAATACTTGTACGAGTACTTATCTCTCTTTTTGTATATAACACAGTCAATGCTCTTTAGGTATGCCTTAAAGAACTAAAATACTGGATATTTGAGTAGTAAGATCTTATGCTTTAAAAAAAAAATTCAATTGTATAATTCATATAGAGCATTCAGTAAGTAAGATGAAAACGATTTAAGATAGGAAATGGTGGAACTTTAGCAGCTTTCCTTCATCCATGTTTATGGCAGCAACTTGCATGTTACAGTGTTTATTTTTATGACTTGCAAGTTTAAACTTCAAACTTCAGAGTCGTCATTATGGGCATTAGGACAGTTTCTCGACTGGCTGATCTCTATAATAAAGCCAATTCAGATTTTAGAGTTTTTAGAGGAATATGCTCTTGCACAGAGAGAGGGAGAGATTATATGCGAGGGATTTAAGAGTGAGATGGGTGGCAGTGTTTTTTTGATACCAATGTAAAAAAGAAAAATCAAATCCACATTAGTGGGGCCAATAGCACTGACTTAAGGACCCATGATTTAAATGAGAGGAACATGAAACCTGTTCATCAGGGATCTAGATCCCCAATTATTCAGATTGAAATCCCTAAATTCAAAAAACATCTACTTCGAGATCCCTTATCCCGACACACAGGATCGAGCTTCTGCAGCTGCAGCAAACACTTCTTGGGAGATCTCAGAAACTATGCTTAGGCATGAGCACTTCCCAAGAGGCACTTACCATAAGCTTAAATATAAGAAAAATTGCCCTTGTCAAATAGTTCAAAAGATGGGGCAGAAAGCCTACAAGGTCGATATTCCCAAAGGATTATGTTTTCCTATTTGCAACCTCTTCAACCAATATGAGTCTCATTGGGAGGTTGTTGTGGATGGTGATACTAGGTGGGAACACATTTGCCTGAACAAATGGGGGCTAACATAGAGATGTATTGACTAGCCGCATCATCTCTGCCGGTTGCAGAGATTGCAATCAGTATTTGGTACAGTAGAAGGGCCAATCTAATGTGGAGAGTTGATGGATTTTTTTTTCTCATTTAGTTTTGTTTGTAATATTTTTTTAAAAAAATTTACAAAAAAGTCACATCTAAATTTGACCGTATAAAAATTAGGAGGGAAAGTTTAGCATTTGAATTCAAATTTTACTTGGGAAAAGGAATTGTGCATTTGGGATTGTATCCATCAACACTCCTGGAGACTTTAACTGTGCATGGCTTGGGAAAGGTATTTTGCATGACTTATGAGGTGGTAGGGTCCATTAGTACTCCTAAAGATGAAGACTTTTACCCTATTGGAATCAATGTTTTTGCTGTAAAAATCCAAAAATCAGTAACTTAGTTCCCATTTTGAGGTGTCTTTCAACCTCATACAAACCATTGAAGCTAGGCTTTATTAGCATTAGCCCATTGTCTTTGAAGCACAATTAAAATCCCTTAACTTCGACCCGATTGTGAGTTATTTATCTCTTCTCTCTATTGTCATCAGGATGTTGAAGCTTGAAGCTCCAAGTCACCCCAATCACCTTGTTGCAGTGAGTCCAAGCGAGAGGATTTGTCTTTACCTTCCATCCAGCTATTCTCCGGTTTCCAACAATGATTTGGATGTATTTATGTAATTTTAAGTTGAAAATTAAATGATATATTTATTTTGAGAAAAATGTTAACTACACTTCTACTAGTTCTTACATATTTTTTTATTTTAACTGCTCTTGCCTTTGAATCACATCATTTGTTTGACTGTAACAGTTTTTTGTTGGATATATGCCAGATGCGCGTGTTTCTCGGTGAATGGCCTCCCACCCATGTGTGTGTGTGTGTGAGAGCGAGAGAGAGAGAGTGTGTGTGTATGTGTGAGAGAGAGAGAGAAGGCGGTGGGAATGCGGGGAGGCACCACATGGGATCAGCAGTGCACCATCTAGCAAATGATGAACAGCCAATTGGGGGACCAGAGAGAAAGCCTAAATGGCTTTTAGAACCTCTCCAAGAACTAATGCCCACTGGGTCCAGTGAGTACCTCCCTGAAAAAGAAATAATAATAATATTATACTTCAGGAAAACATATATCTCATACAATAGCACTTAGGACAAAGGATCAAACTTTTGAAAAGTATGGGCAAATGGCAGCAGGAACTCAACCGACCAAATAAAACATAGAAAGAATGGTTGTAAGACAGATTTTTAATAGAACCCGATCTCTCTCTCTCTCTCTAACACGTACACACACAACACATATAGAATGCTAGTAAGAAACATCTGATAGTTTGGATGCGTCACAAAGTTCAAGAAAATTTCTTTTGAAGTTTGAGCTTAGTCAATGGAATAAATGCAGCCACCCAATTTTATATCCAAAGGTCAAGATTAATTGTGCCCACCTTGTACCAAAGGTAAATGATCTCATCCATGAATTTAAGATATGATCCCATGAACAAGAGACGTACCTGACAAAAAACAGAAAATGGCTCCCTCAATGGCCCATCACATGAAAGCTCGCTTGTGCTACCATCAATGAAGGTCCCATGAGCAAAGACTACCTGTTTCAAGTTTCAAAAGAGTATCAGTTCTGCATCGGTCTAATCATACGTACAAGAATCGGGATCAGCAAATGTAAAGAAAAAAAAAATCAACAATGTAAAAAAACTAAGTCATCTAAGAATATAGATAAGCCTTACTTAATGCTCCATGAATGCTGGATCATGATAGTCATCTCGAGATTTTATGCCATAATCCAAAGGAATAATGGACAATGGTACAAGGTACTCCAGATATGCATCCACTGCTAATTGTGATGATGAATATTGGATATAATAACAGTCGGGTGAAGCCACCCAAACATTCATCTTGATAATGAATCTCATGGTGGATGTCCCTATAATGTAACATATGCATATTACTCCATTCACTTATGGTACACATCCTACTAATTGAATTCCAACTCTTATAGCTTTGTTTTTCTTGGATTTGATTACAGACCTCAAAGTATAAAATGGAGGTATACATCAAGTTGTACCCAAACAGCATACAGAAACAGATATACATGCAACAAACAATAGGGGCAGAGAGATATACAACAAAGAAATGGGAAAGAGGGGGGTGAGGGAGGTATCAACAATTCCAATAGCAAGAAATTTTCAGTATTTAGCCACAAAAAAAAAAAAAGAGGTATCAGAAAATGCCAATTGCTTACTTAAACTGGAATACCTCAGAAGCATATCCAGGAGATGAACCAGCAATGGGCTTGATATAAGAACCAACCGGACAACTTCTTTGAACAGCATCACAGAAAGCCAACAGACGCTCTCTGCTCCCCAGCTGCACTGCCTGAGAAAAACAACATAAGATCTAGCCTTAGAAACGCTCTCTCACTGGAACATAGAAGTCTCAACCAATATTCTCAAAACTAGACTGAAGGTTGAACCGACAAAGTGGATGGTCTCAATTCTTTTCGTTAAACAGATAGGTCGCATTTGTCAAACCATGACACTTTATTGTCTGATACTCCCTCCTGACAAACACATGCACTTAGGAAAGAACATCTAAAAGCAAGTTTTCCCAGTGTTCATAAACATTTACAAGTTTTTTTTCAAGGCCAAAAACCAAAAACAAAGAACCAGATAAAAAAAACTTTGAAAGATTTTAAATACCTAAGAACCAAATAAAAAAGCTTTGAAAAATTTTTAATACCTGGAAAGGGCGTGAAACAATGTGGTTCACTGTGAACCTTCCAGTTCAAAGTTGACAGACTATTTACTCATTGAACTATCTGGTCTAATCAATGTTTTCAATTTGTCAAATTTTAAGTCCAATTCCTGGATTTATCGTAAAACTAGCTGGTTCGGACCAGTTTTCAGAACATCGGGCTAGAATTAATGATCAAAAGGCATATGCTAGAGTTTCCTCAACAACAGAGATGGAGTAATGCATAAAAGAAAATGAATAAAAATTTTAGCTTGTCGTTTCACAAAATATACAGAGCAAAAATTTTACTACGTACAGGACAAACTAATGCATTCACAAATATTAAAGGACTTATCATATCATATCAGTGCAATAACCTTTTCTAATATTAAGTCATGATCAGTCCTAAAATGTTCGATGAATGATGTAAATAGAAGAAGCTCACAAACCACGAATATAAAACTATCCATGACATATAAAAAGGAAAGACATGAAACATGCATCCTAGGGAAAATATTTGGTCCACCCAAGAGCAGATCGGAATAGTATCCAGTCCAACCTCCCTGATTCTGGGGCCTCAGGGGAATTTTTTCCAGCCCAATTTTGGCACACACATTTTCTAGGTCCCAAAGACAAAAATCATGAAAACAAATTTCGGAAAAGAAAAAAAAACACATGGTTCTTTCGATGAGAGAAACTGAAGTGAATATGGGTCATCCATTTTAGGAAAGAAAAAATGGTGTTACACCGAAGCCCAAGAGGGATTTGTGTAGCCCAAAAAATTTTAGAGTGCCTCGTCATCACCAGATGAAAAATTTAAATAAGAAATTGATTCAAGTTCCTAAGCGCTAAAACTAGCAGCCCATGAAATGGATAGCATGTGCTTATCGGGTCCAAAAAAACCATTTTACAAGTTTCCTTTTATTAATTTTTTCATGGCCTCGGCTATGAGGATTTGTGCATAACAAATGCTCCAAGGCCCCCAAAATGGGGGTGAGCAGATGAATTGTTTTCCCTGGATTCTGATATTCAGCACTGCTTGGCCTCAGACAGCCTCTGAGTTACAAATAAGGCACAAAAATAATTAATCCTCTACCGTGTTGTTTTTATCATACCAGAAAAGCCTTTCCTTCAACCGTTTTTTTTGCTTTTTGGATGAATGCTTTCTTTTAACCTTGTTTTGTTTGAATAGATGGAATGATATATTTTAAAAAAACAAAAATCTGCTGTTGCTACATAAGTTCACTAGAGCAGAGAAGCATCTGATGCAAATTGTTTGACCAGATTCAAGTTGCCGCTCAATAGAAGCATTGTGAAGGCCATTCTAAATACCACTTTATGGTTATCTTAATGAAACAATTATGCTAAGAAAGTCGCAGATGTCCCGTGGCAGAGGATGAAAGTGGAAATTTTTGTTCTAACAAGCAAAAGATTAATGAGAATTTAGTCTTCAGCAACACAGCCAATATGAAATTACCAACCCAATGTAACAATTCTTTCAAAATCTTCAATGCGGATTCTGTTCATAGTTGAACTCAACACAGAAAAAATAATCACTTAAGAATGGATGAATTAAATGATTGACTGTATTCTCGAAGGTCAAACCTAGTACAAGGTTGAACAAGTGCAAGAAACTGATACATAATATTCCATAAAGTCTCAATGTGTATTAAATATGAGCGAAGTTTAAAGCTTTCAAATTTCCAAGGTCTCATGACACGGTCATTTTTACTCAACCATACAATCTGTTGGATATATGAGGGTTCTCACCGTAATGAGTTTTCACCATGGCAGCCAGGATCTCACCACAAATGGGTCCAGGCGAGTACACCCTAGGATACAACCAAATCGAAAATATAATTCCTGAGTCTTTGAGTTGCACACTCAAGAGACCCATTCAAAACCACAGCTACAATACTGATATGTCTTTCCAGACAATAAAATAACATTAAACATTTATTCAAAACAAAATATCGATATCAACATAGATCGCTCTTTGTAAAATATCACCCAATCAGTAATTATGACTGAAATACTTTGACTGGAAAAAAGACATGAATAAAATTTACTTGTATCGATCAATGGATGATAAAAGAAAGGATCTAAATAAACTTGAATCGATCTATAGATTATAGAAAAGATCCCAAAAAATTCATGCACCAAAAATGAGTACCATCTCTTCGCCTCTCTTGGTTTTCTCTAATTCCTCATTCTCTCCGCAAAATGCACGAATTCTATACTCAATGGAGATGAAACTCTAGAGAGAAAAATTTCTTGAACCCCAACACCTTATATATAAACCCACTGTCCTATCTCTTGGTAGCTTTCTGTAACTTTTTAATGAGAGAGGTAAGAGAGAGCATATAGAGAGAAAAGAGAGTGGTAAGAGAGCGCACATGAGAGTCCACAGAGAATAAAACCCTTTTCATATATATTATTACCCACCCCTCCACTCCTCTATATATAATAAAAAATAGGGTGTGGTTTGTATAAGGCCGAGGCCCTAAACCATCAAAGTAAGGCACACCTTCAAATAGTATCGAAAAATGTTGTTTCAATAATAACTTGAAATTTTATTTTCATTTCTAATTATAAAATTTAAAGCTTCAAAAATAGTGTAGATCGAGCAGATCTATGAACACTTGAAAATCTTAAAAATTAACACATTCAAAAAACCACTAACGATTTCAAAAAAATGGATAGGGGCACATCATCCCCACTGAATTACCCAAATAAAGAAGAGAAGTTCACTATGGTGAAACAAGGGAAGGTCCATCAGGACCAGCCAAGTGGACGGGCAAAGAAACAAGAAAAAAAATTGTTGTTTTGAGACACAAATAAACCAAAAAAAAAGAGTTAACAAGATTAGGTTTTGGCTCGCCTGAGAAGCTCTTTGGCAACTTTCTAGTACCAATGCATGTATATGTTTGGTAGAGCATGGGACAATATTATTATCATTAATGTTTACCACAACATGAACATTCAGAGCCCAAGTTGAGGAAAAAAGGGGCCCAACTAAGTCAAAAGAATAAATAAAGAACCATGCAAAAATCTCAAAATGTCAATCCAAGCAGTAGCAAGGTGGATTTTAATTCCATGAATTCACAAACTTAGTCTTTCTCCAGCCATAATATGGCCAAATTGAACCCACTGGGAATAGAAGTAAAACAAGAACAAAAATCATATTGCAGAGCTGAAAATTGACAACATTATCATCTTGCTTATTTGGGGTGGGAGGAGAGACAAGGGATTTTCTCGACTGTGGCTAAACACACCACAGGCAAGATAATCATTAAAGCAAATCATGGACACACTCTCGAAAATGACATTGCCTAGGGTGACCTGACCTGACTCGATCAATCCTAAATTGACTCACACAAACTCGTCTAAGTCCAAGAAAAAAAAAAGGAAAAAATCCAAAAATATGAAATTAAGGAAAATAAAAATAAAAAGTTAAGGAAATTATGGGTAAACTTGACAAAACAGAACTCTGAATATTCACGATTTTGGAAATATGGACAAAGACATTGGATTTCCATATATCTGGATTATATTATTATCCTAATAAGTGTTTTCTTATGTCTATTTGACTGTCTACCAACATTTCAAATTCTTTATAGATTTCTTTTTTGTTTTAGTGCTTGGCTAACAAATTAGAACTCATCAATATTTACTTCTTACGTACATATTTGATTCGTACCTTGCCTGTCACTTTGACAACTATCTCTATGATCAAATAATGCTCCTTCACTACTGAAAAATCCTAACTATCCCTAAATAAAAAATTAAAAATTAAAAATAAAAAGCAAAGTGTCTCTATAGCCACATGTGCCAATTGCACCCATGCTAGCACAAACACCACGAGATGCATAAATGCATGCAGACATTGCCGATATAGACAAATAGACAGAAATATGATGTGCTATCTATCAAAATGCCTTCATACTATGAAATTTCAAAGAAATAGCCATCAAACAACAAAAACCAACTATGTTTCATGGTTCCTTTTTCTTCTAGAGAGTATAAGGATCATACTTCCTTTCAATTACAACCAAGAGGTTTCCACTTTGCGTGATACTTTAAACACCTGTACCCAATGTAGCCTCTTAATGATCAAATTTTTTTAATCCTTATGGGCATATTTGCAGCTCAAGTGAGTTAACCTTTTCCTCCAAAAAAATATATATATTTGCAGCTCAAGTGCAGTTAAGAATTAGGAATATCCAAGATTTGCACTAAGATTTATGGAAATGTACAGTGGAACTCATCCCTCAAGGATTGAGGGCACACTTGATGCATTGTTTATAACAAAACATAAATATAACTTACCAAGAGGTAATCACACCATACTTTTCTTTATCAAAACTAGCTACTGCTATAAGATTTAACAGCCGCTGATAGATATAGCTATTATAAGAAGCAAATGATATCGGAAATGGAAAATCAGCTTTAACTGCATAGGAAATGCAATAACTCTGCCTCCAGTTCTTGATAGAAGACATTATTGGACAATAACAGGCTTACAAGATCAGGCAGCTAGGATGTCAATAAGACAAAAAAAAATCAAAAGAATTTCAGTTGATCAGATCATGAAAAGACATTTCCATAGGAACTTTGACCATCCTTCTAATAGCAAAGCAAGGAAATCCATAAAGTTTGGAGATACAATGAATGGGTAGTGTGAACACTTTTTTAAAACAATTGTTGGGAAAGATCAGAAGCTTTGACTCATTGCCATTGAGAGGTTACTTCTGGAGCTAAATGAGGCAAGCAATGGAGCTTACAATGACAGAGATTGGGAGAGCCAGACAGACCAAAAAGTGCCAAGATTTGGGGATGACAATGCACACAATAGAACTCCGACTGTGATACAAACAATTGGCGAAGCCAGATGACTTAGAATTTGAACATCTTGTTCAATCTAGAGTGCACTAGAGAAGTAAACAAAGGGAAAAAATTCAATCAACAACCATGTAATGAATGGACATACATAGATTGCAAAGAAACAACTAAAGGGCACTGATCATTGATCAAATGCCATTTGCCCTATTAGAGCCTTCCACTTGAAGCAATCGCCCCTCCTAATTGGTAGTGTTCTAGGTCGACACTACACATGGCTAGATCACCGAAGTCTACTTTCCCCCATCTTATCGTTTATCTAGATACACCCATAAGTTCCATCAAATGCATTCATTCCAAATTATATCATTTCTTCTCTTGCCACTCATCCATCACAACATTATTATCTCAGCTACACTCATTCTATGGATATGTTGTTTCTTAACTGCCTAACATTCTATGCTATAAAGCATGGCTGGTCTTACAGCTGTCCTAATAAAACTTTTCCTTCAGTTTCATTGGAATGTGACGATCACATAAAACTCCAAAAGCACATCTCCATTTCATACACCCAGCTCTAAGTCTATACGCAACATCTTCCTAAATCTTTCTATTGTCATAAATTATCGATGCAAGGTACTCCTTAGCCATCAATCTTAACTAATTCCCCATTTCTATTGCTATTATTACTAAATTTGCACTCCATATCAATGTTGTCAAGACCAAACCAATGAAGGCACTGGCTAAGTTAGACCCGCCGAACCGGACGGATTCACCGGTCGCACCAATCTAAGAAAAACAAAAAATAAAGTTAGGGAAAAATGAGAAAAAAGGAGAAAATATGAAAAAACTACGGAAAGAAAGATAAAGAAAAATATGATAAATAGGCCCAGCCGAAACAACATGAAAGGTATTGGCCTCGAGCTTAATCAATGCCAGCAAAGAGAATATCTTATGAAATATCAAAGGAGACAATACATTTTCTCTCAAAACCTCATTTATTTCCACCATATGGTTCAAAGATAACTGTTCAAGATTTTTCAATAGAAAATCTAAAATCCTCCATGGAAAAAACTAACAATACTCAAATCCGATCACCCACAGAAATAACAAGGAGATGAAAAGACAAACCCAGTAATAATGTGAAAGAAACTAGTGATGGTTTCCAAAACCAAACAAGCAAAATTAAATAAATATTCAGAAAGTTAAACAATTCTAAAATCTAAATATTCATTTTTTTATATTTTCGTGCAATATTTTGATGGTTGTTTACATATTGTAAATCCCTTCAAAACAACCAAAAATGAAAAATAGAGTACAAAATTGTAAACCCTAATTCTTAAATTTCCATTACATTGAATATTTTTGCATTTATTGAACCCTAAAGTAGTAAATGTTAAAATCTTTCAAAACGGTTGTTTTGATGTTAGAAAAATATCTAATTAACCATCTCGACATCGAGATGTATAGATATGGAGAAAAAAAGAGATTTCAAGTCCTAACAATAATACATCTTGCAACACATTATCTAGGTCGTCCATTTTCAAGATTTTCATACATTTATAGATCTGCTTGATTTGAATCATTTTTAGAATTAAAAATTTTATGATTAGAGATAAAAATAGATTCTCATATCATCCTGAGAATTTTCGACACCCAAATTGCGTTTCATGATAAAGTTCGGAGCTGCACCTTTGTTTAAAGTTGCAACCTTATGCAAACCACCCAATAGATAAATAACAGTTCTCACTCTTGCAGGTGGACAAAATATCGCTGGGATCTCACCGAAGGACTACTGTTTTGCTTGAGGGTTGAAGCTTGAACCATGAGAAATTGAGAGCTTGAGCGCGAGAGAAAGAGAGAGAGAGAGAGAAGTATCGAACAATATTTTAAAATGAGGGATGCGATCAGGGGGCCAATGCGGAAATGCGGGCGCATCACCCCGATGTGCTCAATAAATATAAAAAATTCTAAAAAATCTACAAAAAATAGGTTAAAAAATCTCAAAAAACAGGTTAATG